TCCTTCCCCCCACCTCCTACCTTGTCGACGTGGATGTAGAAGAAGTGCTGCTGGTGGTACACAGCCTTGATGAGCCGCTTCAGCTGGCGGATGGCCCTCCCATGAACAACCAGCATGTACGCAATCCGCACCGGCTTGCTCACGGAGGCCTGGTGCGTCTTGCTCTCGTCCCACTGGATCACGGGGCTGACTTTCCCTGGGGGGGACAGAGAGCAGATGCTCACTGAGCCAACAGCTGGGCTCAGCTCACCCGCTCGCTCGGGGAGGGAAGCGGCCATCGCTCAAGACCCCTCTGCCAGCTGTTCTCTTACAGCAGAGTACACAGTCCCCGTACTGCCCAGCTCCGCTGTTAGCGTCTTCCCAACCTAGGGCTGCACGTTCACCTTGCCACGGGCCCCAGGGACACACCTGATCTGCCAGGAGAGCAGACTGCAATCACCCCCATCTCCACTGGGCTGCAAGCACTCTCGGTGCTAACATCCAATGTGGCCAGGATGCTGAGTAAGTACAACACGGCCTGCTGGGATGTGTAATCTCCACGGGACAATCTTCTCCATTAACAGGGGGGTGGAGGGGCACAAGGCAGAAACACGGTGGGCTGCATTTGTGATTTTCCTTTGTAGAGAGTGAACCCACCCAGACAAAGTAGCCTCGTTTAGGAGGGAGATTCTTAGGCGACTAGGCTGGCGTGGCTTTGATTGGATTACATGTGCAGGTATTAGTCACAGGTCAGGGGGTGTGGAGACAGGGTAAGGGGGCAGGACATTTGCCCCACCCCAGATTAGGGTTGGACGACAGGCTGCGGCCCACTAACAGGGCATCTTTCCGATGCCAAGGGATTACCTTTGGGGGCTCTGCTGATGCTTAATGGCAATCTTGAAGAGACTCACCTGACAGCTGGCAGTGCCGGGGCACAGAGCGGGGCATCAAATTCCCTGCCTGGTGCAGACACACCACGTTGGCGATCTCCTGCTGGCACTGCTTGGTGCTGGCTCTCGCGAGCGCCGAGAGGGCGTCTTTGCCCGTGATCTCACACTTGGGGGTGAAGCTGTTCTCGGTGGGCTGGGGAGCCCCCTCCACGCTGCCCGTGTCGCCGTGCTGGAAGACGGCCAGCTGGGCATCCCCACGCAGCTCTGTCCGGTTCCTCCTGCTCGAGTCGTCCCGGGCCGCGGGGAGCCTTCGCCCAGGTTTGTGTTTTGCGGTGACGGCTCTCACCACCTTGGCCACCAGCACTCCAGGGCTTTCCGGGCGGCCCTTCCACCGCCCATGCTTCCGGCTCGCGCTCCCCCGGCGACCAGCTGAGCTGTCCGAATCTTTGGAGCCTTCGCTGTTTTCGGGCAGCCTGGCCTTTTTTTGCCGTCCCTATTCCAAGTTTGATCGGACACAAAACAGAGGGAAAATGTTAACTTGGGTATCACCACATCTCTTGCAACAGCTTCCTTATTGTTAGCAGCAGCTCATCC